AACCCTAAAAGGGCCCACCCAAAAGCCCTAAACCCTAGGTCCTGACCCAGGCCTCGAGCTTAAGCCAGGTTTAGGATTTTTGGTTTAGGGTTTTGGGGGGTTTAGGGCGTAGAGTTTAGGGTTTGGGGGGCTTAGGGTTTGGGGTGTTTGGGGCTTAGAGTTTAGGGTTTGGGGGGTTTAGAGCTTAGAGTTTAGTGTTTGGGGGCTTTAGGGTTTAGGGTTCGGCGGGCTAAGGGCTTAGAGTTTAGGGTTAAGGCAGCGGATCAACCCTGAAATTCCCAGCTCGACCCAGCTTGCCTTAAAGCACGCCAATGTACAGGCCAGAAGAATTGCCAAGATCATCCCTGGAGATTCATTATGTAGTCGTATCATTTCGGTTTACATACTCCCCGAAGTCCCAGCCTAAACCCTAAATCCTAAACCCTAAATCCTGAACCCTAAACCCTCTAAAATCCTAAAACCTGGACCTGGAACTCCAGCCTTGCCCTTTACCCAAATTGAGCTGAACCCGCAAAAAGAACCTTGCAAAGTCGAATTGGGATTATAGGGTTTAGGGTATATGTTGGGGTTATATACTGGGATAATGGAAAAATGGAAACTACTATATTATAATAGGGTCATGGGGTAAGGGTAATATCGAGATAAATGGAACTTGCCATGAAACCTTCGAGTAGGCCAGAGTTCACCCTAGAGCTAGGTTCTATTTTTTGGGGTGGCATACAGCAATAGCTTGACCAAACAACACAAGAGAAACGATAAGAAACTGCGTAGGAGCGTCTGGGTGGGGCTTGGGACCTAGGGCTTGTGAGAATGCCATATAACTCCCCACTATGACGCCATAGACTTTCCAAAGGTTTTAGATACCGAGGGTAATGAAACTTAAATCTTTAACCCTAATCAACCGTAGGGCTCCCGCTTGGAGACGTAGGCCTGGAGGTGCGATCTAGGACTGTTTCGGAGCAGTTGCGCCTAGCATCCGCCTGTTAGTGTACCAGCAGGCCTAGGGCCGAAGCAAAGAAAACGGCGCTTGCTTGGAGGTTTTAGGGTTAGGAGTTCGGGGTTGAGATTTTAGGGTCTAGGGATTAAAGTTACGGGTTTGTTTCGTAAGTGCCCGCAACTGGCGAGAGAATTGCATTGATATCCGAGAACCTACTGCTAGCAGGACCGCAGCCCGAGTTGAGTAGCATTTTATTTGGGGACTAATCATTTTAGGCATGTTTTCGTTCTAAGGTTGCAACAGAAGCATGCTAGATGGGATGGCATTCAGGATGTTAATGTTCCCGCGACCACAGCACTCTTTCGTAAAATGCTTCCACAAGCCTATGGCAGCACTGCTCTTATGAGATTCCCCTCAAACGTTCATGCCACGCCTCATAGCCTGCATAAACAAAACATCGTTGCCACACTCGCCTGCACCTTCTGTGGATGGGGTTTAGGGTTTAGGGTTTAGGGTGCCGCACATTGCATGTCATTGCCCTCGCTTTCAGTTCATCCGCAAGGAATGGGCTGCTCTTACCCAAACATGGGCCTCATGGCCTCCCTGCGTCCAGACCTGTCTTGTTGCCACTACCTCCGTGCCAATGCATCTCTGCACAAACTGGCACACAGTTCTTCAAGATATTGCATGTCTCTTCGGACTTGGATGGCACAACGGAAGCCTCGTGCAGCCCATCACTTGCGATTTGCGAGTCTCATGCCATTGAGATACCCCGTGATGCCGAAAATCATGCCCATGCCAGATACATCGCAAGTCGCTATCGAGAGGATTAGGCCTCTCGCCGCCCCCATTTTCTCCATGCCTTCAGTCCCTGCTAACAAGAAGTAAGTTAAGCCTCAAGCCTAAACCCAAAACTCTAAATCCTAAAGCCTAAAACGCACCAGGTACCAGGGCATCAAGGGCATCCTGGATGACAGCACTCACAAGGTAGAGGACAAGGCCCCCGCTCCCCGGAGCTCATGCTTGGAGATTCATGGTATACCCGATCTTTTATGGATTTACTTACAATCCCTAACTGGACCTCCTTAGTTTATCCTAAATATAATCATGCTTGTAAACCCTGTTATACGTACCTCTTAAGTCCCGTGAACCCCCAGCCAGGCCTTCTCAAAGAGGGTTTAAGGTTTACCTTGTCCCAAACTAAGCTGGAACCCGAAATGGGGCCTGTCTAGGCTACTGTCCTGCCAAAGAGGGGCCTCTGTGATGCTCCATGTCTGTTTGGTAGAGGGTAATGGATAAAATTGGTGCTACCTAAACCCTAAAAGTAGGTAAACTAATGGCCCAAAAACGTTCAAGACAGCCCCAAAAGGCCATTATTCTATATACTTTTGGCGCTCAGGTAAACCCTAAACCCGCTCAAATCCTCCAGGTCTGAACGGGAGTCTATAAGTCCTGTGGCTCATAGCCGGAAACTAGGCAGTTTGAAAAGTCAAGGCCTTTGGTTTAGGATTGGGACTTTTGCTGCACATGCATTTGCAATGTAAATCCTGTATTTGCAACTCAGCGTTCTTCCAGTGAAAATCTTAGGACTGTCGTTCCCCTCCCAAAAAACATGATCTCAAGAGGCCGCAATAATCTCAGGAGGCATGCGTTAGAGGCTCATAGTAGCCCCAGGAGAACATGTTTCCAAGAGGGCCTAGTGTCCCCCAAACTGACAAGAGTAGTACATTATTTGGGGGGTACTATGCTATCCAATACAGAGTAAGATTATATCCTCATATCCTCTTTTTCGGTATGGTATTTCGTATGAAGAATATAACCTTACAAGGTTCAGGCACCAAAAAACACTACTCAGCCATGGAACCTTAAAGGGTTTAGGGCTTATAACGTCCACTGGCTAGGTTGCCAGAGGTCTAGGAAAGCGTGGGCGGAATGAGTGGGCTGATCCTTTCGCGCCCTTGGTTTCTATGGAATCCAGGGGTCCACATTTTGAGAGGTCTCAGGAACTCATGAGCTGATCCATGTTGGTTGTCAGGAATCCATGAGCTGATCCATGTTGGTTGTCAGCAAGAAAAGTCTAAAGCATGCATGACGCGGTGTGCGGAGAATTGAAATGTGTCAGTCAGGCAGCTCTATGCATGATGGTTCGAGTTGGCAGGAAAACATGATTCATCAAGAATTATGATTTGTCTTATTATTTGTTGTGAGCAGGGAAGTTATCAAGTAAGAGAGATTCAGATAAAACTCCCAAGATTTGAGCAAATGAGAAGCACACATGGGTTTAGTTTTGGTCAGCTAAGCTATAGAATATAAAAAGCGGATTTGCTGTCGACATGTCTCTGCTGGCCAAAAGAGCTGTTATCCTGTTGCTGCAGACACAGACGATTGTATTGCAGGGGCAACAGGTTATTGCCAAAGAGAAAGCGACAGAGACTCTTGTGGAATGCTTGACAAAAGGCGGCATCAACTCTCGACAAGCCAAAGAGCGTGTCCGCGCAACTTGGGGGGCAGTGCTACGTGGTCAAGAGCCTGAGCGTGGGGTTTTGGCTCCATTCGTGGGAGTCTTCTATGTTCTTCGTGCTTGCGAACAGCTGGGGATTCAGCTTTCTGCTGAAGAGGTTCCTGGTTGCACTGGTGTGATTGATATTGAAGACGTGCTATCAACTGCAAGTGCAATAGTACCTGCTGAGAGATCGAATTCAAGCCTGACGATAGAGCAGATCTCTGACGATGAGGGTGACGGCTTGCCAAATGCGAGCCTTGTAGAGGCTCGCATTCCTGCAATTGATCCACTTGCTCAGCAAAGAAGTGATGTTCGGGCAGAGATGCAACGCTTGGAGCAGCTTCCTGCTCCAGTGCTTGCCCGACAGCTCATGCAAAGCAAAACCAACGTTTCGAGGAAAAGTGTCAGGGTAAATCAGTTGGAGCGCAAGGTTCGAAACTTGCAAAAGCAGTTGGCAAATTCGAAGTCCAGAGAAATGAAAATGCAAGATGCGTTGAAGCTGGCTGTGGAAGAAAAAAACGCATTCGAGCTTCAGAAGCTTGGAAAGCAGAGGGAAGGGCGAGGCGGGCGATGGAGTTTGCAATCACGTTTTTCAATGGGGCTGCGTTGCTGCTTGTCAACGATAGCCGCAAGTGACTTCTCCATGATCAGTATGGTGGATGTTTCTAGACAAACAGTTCTCCGTGCAGAATGCAGTACAGGTGCGTCCATTATTTCCTTGATGCAGAGTTTCTGCCGCGAGGGCTTGTCCTTGGCCCTGGAGTGTGGGGCTGAGCAAGCAGACAAGTTTAGCTTGTTTGGCGTGGGCTATCGCTCAGACGCTACGAATACAAACATTTGGCATCGAAAGAAATTACACGTTTGCGAAGCAACCGTGATGTTTCTCAATGATCCGCAGAGACTGCTGGAAGGCGACTTCCTTGGGGCGATGAGCCAGCGTTCTTGTGTGTTCTTGGGCTGGCTGATCAGGTTGTACAGTTAAGATTTCTCAAATGAAGTCTAAGGTATTTGTCTCTATTTAGCTGTTATTTTGTTTGATAGATTGTTGTAATTGTTCTAGCCAGTGGACTACTAGTAGTAGTAGTAGTAGTAGCAGCAGCAGCAGCAGAGCTAAAGGTCTGATCTTCAAGTGGTCGACTCCACAGCTACCGCCATGGATGTGCTGGCATTGGTTTTGAAGCAGCTAGCTGCTTTGGGTGTCCCAGGAATGCGTGACATCGCTCGGCTGTGTAGGCGGATTGATCAAGAGTTTTCAGACAGGCGGACAGGTGTGTTGACCTTTTGTTGTTCTTCGTTTTGAGTTGCGTTTGGCAGTGCTAAACTCATCGTGCTAGACTGCTAGACTCTTGAGCGTTGAGCTTGGGAAGGCTTCAATCTTTGTTTCGGGTTGGGTTGCCATTTTTCTTTGATTCTTAAAGTCTTAACTAAAGTCCTTAAAGGGGTTGTTGAAAACAGTTGACACAACAAAATCGCAGGGAGAAAAAACTTGGCCCGTCATCAATCTTCGTATACTGCGACACGACAGACGCCGGATCTGATCAAGCCTCACGCAGGCGCCACATGAAAGCTGCCGTCGCGCACCTTGATTGTTTGCTGTTCATTGATGTGAACTGCCTGCTACATCAGTATCACCTCATTGTAAAAGACAGCCTGCTTCTCATGGACTCGTTTTTGTCAAAGCTGAAAGAGACGCACCCAGACATTACTTCGGGCTTCGAGTCTTACGTGTCCAATCTTGCAAAGGCCTGCAACTTTTGGCGGAGCCATGTTCCCGAGTTTATAGATGCCTGGGAATCTGTACATGGGTTTGGGAAATGCAGTCGAAGAAGTGAACCTGACCCTGTCAAGTACAGAAGATATCCTTTAGCAGTGATATCAGGAAGGTGGGGCAGTGTCGAAAATAGTGAGAACTTCTTCATCGAGAGGTCTCGCGAGCTTCTGGAACCAGTCTACTTATCAGTGCTCAGCCGCTACATGAAATCGAACAAAGAGGGGCCTGGGAGCAGCAAGGACACCAAGGCCGGCAAGGCAGCTGCCCGCAAACCAAAGCGAACTGTGGACGATGAGCCACGCGCACACGCTCAGGATTTGTTGGACGCAGGCGAGAGCAAGGAGGCCTATGCGCTGAAGATGTCGAAATGGGCAGAAGGCGCCATGCGCACCATCCGAAATTCTTTGTTTTGGATGTTTCTCCTGGTATCTTCAAAGGTTCGAGGTCCATTAAACCATTTTTTCGCATGGGCTCAGCAGCAATCCGACAATCGGCTCATCCAGCAGCTGGTGACTGGAAAAGCTGACGCTTTCCAGAATGAGTTTGGCGAGTTGTTGAGCACTTTCGACAAATGGTTTGGCGAGGCGCTTGTCGAAGCCTCTGCGACAGGATGGCCGGCAGAAGTGACGAACCTGGTGCGCACTTTGTCTTTCCGTATGTTGGTGCACGCAGCAGCCAGCTTCTACATGCGGATCACGATGCATGTGCAAACGCGCTGCCACATACATCAGTCGTCTTTTTCTCTGTCGTAAACATTTCCAATCATTTCGATTTTTCCGCAATAATCTTTAGGACTCCTTAAATCCTGGAACCCTAAACTTACCCTTAACCATAATCCCGATATTTCCGAAACCGGGTCTTGAACACAATCCCGGTACCAGCTCCTGAATCGTTCGCTGTTTCAGGTTTCATGTGGTTTCAGGCCGAAAAAAAAGTAGTGGAAGTTTCTGTGTAGCCTTGTGATGGAAACAGTTGTATTGGTAGCCAGGTGTTGGTACTTCCGTGTTGGCCTCATGTACTTAGGTACCCTTATCGGTTATTCTGGCTGGTGGCAAGAAACCCCAAACAGCGGTGCTCGCAAAGGCAACGGGTTGCTGAGGAGATATTGGGCAGCGATATCTTGGAGGCTAACTGCCGCAAGATCCGGACGCTGTGTGAGGCGGAGCTGCGGTACGTGGCGCAGGAAGGTCGCTTTGACTTAGCAGCAACCCCGTATGGATCAAAACTTTTTGCGATCGTCTCTACCCTCGCCGAATTGTTGAAAGCGGATACGCAATTGGTGGAATCTATAAACAGCATTGTGCGTCTAATCGGCACTCGCTGTCCAAGGATCGACTTGGAAACCATGAGTGCCCGAATCACCACGAAAAAAGCGGTGACAGGCAATCTTCCGCGTGGGAGCGAGTCAAAACGTTGGAGCAATGTATTCTTGTATGCCAAGCCGCTTCTTCTGGAAATGACGAGCGCCGGCGACAGCTACAAACAAATTCTGCACGACGTTGGCCGTTGGTCCCAGCCGACACGCACATCAATGTCAGTGCTTGATGCAGCGCTGAAGAACACGGATCTTACAAAGGCATTGCCAGACTTGAAGCCAACGCCCGAGCGGAAGTGGGCTTCTTCACACGCTGCACTGATAAAGAAGGCTGTGGACGCAGCCAAGCGAGAGTCAGCAAAACTCAAAGCCTTTGCAGCATTGCGGCCTGCGTCAATGACTGTCATCTGCATTAGACAGAGCCAGGAGCAGGCATTGCAATTTTTCTTGCAAGCCACGTCATATCGATCGATTCTGTTTGTTGTCAAGTTGCAAGCGAAAGCGGATGGTTCTTTGGAAGTCCCGCGTGATTTGCAGATCACCACGACGATGCACTTGCTGAATGGCTTGCACGGCCCTTGCCACGACCCGACAGCGCCGAAAACCTATGAGGTCTTTACCATGAGCGCAGTCCATGTGAGTGGCAGGCAAATCAAGTGCATTCAAGATGATGCTGGCCAGGGGCTTCGCCTTTGCGCTGCAAACACACTTCTTGCTGGATCGCCTGCGTCTTTCATTCAGAAGGGATCGGATGTCAAGTCTGCGCAGCTGGCTCTGGAAGACATGGCGGACGCGGATGGTGATGATGCTTTGGATGCCAGTTTGGACGCCGAGCTTTTGGGCAGTGGCTACTATAGATCTCCCAGTTGGCAAGGTTTTGTTGGTTGTATTCGGGCGTCCCAGGTTATCGTGAGAAACTCTAGATCAAAACGCTAAGATAGATGTCCGCTTCAAATACTGGGTTTGAGCTCGGGTTGTAGTAGTTGTAGTTATGCTTAGCTGAAGCAGGGATCCCTGATCTCAGGTTATGGTTTTGGCGAGGATGTTGCCGACTCATGCTCAGCATCAGCTGAACTGGATGTGGAGCTTGGCGCATCTGCTATTGATGCTGCAAATGCTCGGCGCATTCAACAAGCCGCCGGGAAATCCACACATGGGGCTGGAGATGCACCTCGTTGCGATGATGTTGGCTTGCTTGATGAAGCCATGCAGCTGGTACGGGCTATGCACGCAGATTCCGGCATCGTCCTGACTGAAGCAGAGCTGGAGGAAGAAGCGTTGTTGCTTGTCATCCGCCAGGTGGAAGATGGCAAACAGAAGCAAGGCAGCAGTGCTGGTGATGGAACGGGTAGAAAGAGGAAACGCGGACAAGCTGGCATGTCTGCGCCCGTGCAGGGCGAGATGACATCATCTGTGCAGCCGAAAGCAGTGGACGAGGCTCAGCAGTTGCTTGCCCGCCGCGGCTCTGACAAGACGGCCAGCAAGTACAAGTGCTTGGAGGATGACGCAATTTTTCTTGGCCAAATTCTGGCGGAGGCTGGGGATGATTCGGGTCCCGAGGACAATGCCGAGGGTGCTTCTGTAGTGGCCGCAGTGGCTGCCTCCGATGATGGCAAGATTGAGGAGACAAGGCGGCGTGAGCTGCCCAAGTGCATTTCCTCTTGGGAGAAAGCTGTCGCAACAACTTTGGAGAGTTGGTCAGACAGGAGCCGCAGGTGTGCCTTGGGCATGGGTCATCAGGATGAAGTGTCATTCGTGGTCAGCCTGCCTTTGGAGTGGAGACAACTGGACATGCAGGGTGGAGACGATTCTGCAGCAGAAGATTGTGCGCTGGAGCTCATTTGTGTCCGCTGGACGGACACTCAGAAAAGAGAGGGGCGCCAGGTACGCATTGATTCTCAGAACCGTGTAGTCTTTGCACCCAGCCATGTGTTTGGTGCTGCAGTCGCAAGCCAGGGCTACCCCCGAAACTTGTTTTACGACCTGCTGCATGCAAGTGGAGCGCAGTCGCGCCGTTACAAGGGTGGATTGCGAGACCAACTTCCGCCGAGCGTGGTTAGGTTCCTGGCATTTGTGCGATTGGTGTGCAGCTTTGCAAACCACGTTTCCAGGCAAGCAATTTGCAGGAGTGTTAATTACAGTTGAGTTCCTGTGGCTTGTTGTTTCAGGCAGACATACCTTGTCACGTCCTCCCGTGCTGTCTTGGGAAACATGTCATATTCGCAGACTCTTGGTAGGATGTTTATGATGTGGGAGCATGTTTAGGCTGGTTCGGGTTGTTTGGCACGCGAGAGGCCGAACATAACATGCGCAGGCGTGTGCGTGCGTTCGAATTTGACTGTGGTTGTGTGACCTTTAACTTTGTGACCAGTAAGCTGTGCCCTTAGCCCCAGGCCCTATAGGCATCTAGTAGGTGACTTGGAATCAGTAAGCCTTGAGCCTCAAGCGCCCCTAAGCTTTAAACCCGAATCAATTGAAGCCTGCAAACCTGATCTGAGGATATGGACGCGGCTGTTGCAGCAAGCAACAAATGTATGAAGTGCCGAGCCTTTTGCGATTCCAAGCCCTGCTTGCTTTGCTTCCATTTCTGGCACACAAGTTGCGCCAGTTCGCTGGCGAGTTTTCTGGACGTTGAGCGTCTTGCATCGAAGGTTTCATTGGAAGCTTGCGCTAGTTCAATGTTGAGCTTTCCCCCCTGGATCCTGGTATACCTGCAAGAAGAGACATCAGTAACCGCATCGCCCTCGTCTGCAAATCCTAATGCGGCAGCGAGGAGGACTGCCAGACAGCCAATCAAGTTGTGCTACAGTTGGTCAATGTTGTCAAGTAGTGACATCCGAAGTCAATCAGGGTTGCATACATTTTGGCACACCTTCACTGAAGAGGATTCCTGCACTTTGCCCACTTTGCGCAGTGGTTGTTGGATGGCTGCGGGACAGGACAGGTTCTCAGCGCTCGTAACAGGGTGTTGAAACACTAGCTCATTAGAGCAGCCGCAGCGAAGGTCGAGTGCCGGATCAAGTGGAGGTGCTGTTGAAGTGCCGACATCTTCTGGGAGGCTACCGCCAGAGTGTTGAATCATCAACTTGCTAATGGAGTGAGTCCGACAGTCCTTTTACTTTCTTGTTCGGTTCAGATAGTTGCAAGCGAGGGGCTTGAATGAAACTTCAGTTTGTTGTTGCACCATGCGCAGTGTAGTTGACAACTTGCTGTTTAGTTTGTTTTGAAAGCCTCGAAGCTCAGTCTCGCTTGATTGCCAGGGGACGCAGTGTCGCTTGATTGGACGTCATCATCAGCTTTCGCAGAGAGGCCAGCGCCGCACATGCACTGTGACATGTTGGATGACCCATGAACAAAACAGACAGTCCAGACAGCGCAGCAGATGTTGTCTCTTTACATGTGCTGCGGTTGTAGAGCCCAGCGCGTTGCATCTTCGCATGCTCAAGACAGCGCCGAAAGGGTTTTTTTAATATCCAATAGCCAATAGCCAATAGATCCAATATAGAGGGGGTAGTAGCAGGGTCCAGCCGCCGGCATGCGAGCGTCATCTGCAGGCAGCGCAGGTGACGCGGGTGACAGTCAGGACGATGGCCAAGATGCATCTGCTGCTGAGTGTTCCCCATGGTTTCCCGTGGGGCGCGCTCCTCGAACAGTTGCCGAGAAGGAATCAGCGAAGCTGCGTGGCTATGCGTGTAAGAGTTGGTGGCCTGTCGAGGTGAAAGCACAGATGCATGGCCTGGGATTGCAACGCCAAGCTGCTGAGCTGTCTTACATGGTAGAGGAATCGGCAAGGCTATTCAACGTCACGCCTCAAAGCCTCTTCTCAGCGACTAGCATTGAGGAAGGATCAGTGACTGCTGCCAAACTGGGATATAGTGTTCGGGCAAGGACACCAGATGAGATGGCTATTCTGGCCTTGGGCTTGCCTCTGCCGAGTTTCGGCCAGACATGCATGACACTGCGGGGCCCTCCACCGCCATTGCCGCCTATGCCCCGGAATACTGCAGCAGAACGGATCGAGAAAAAGCGTCCACCTCGCGACGAGCATCCAGACAGCACGGCGCCCCTGATTGATGTAGCTCCACCTCGGTCTAAGAAACGGCCGCCGCAGCCATACATTGCTGTTTCGGGATCAGTGCTGAAGCATGGGCAAGCCGCTGTGGAGCAATCAGAGGCTGCAGGCAAAACGGATGGCAAGGCGGCGGCGGAAGCACCTGCTGCATCTTCAGGTTCAGCTTCAGCAGAGAGAGCTCAGGTCCCGGTTTTCAACATTGGTGATCCCAAGCACGCGGTGGCCCCAGTGACACCTCCGAAAAGCCCCGCTGTTCCTGCTCCTACCTGGAAGAGCGTGCCCAGACCATCCTCATCCATGTGTGCTGAGCCTAGGGCAGCTCCCTACAAGAAGCAGAAACCTTCAGCTCGTCAGGACTATTCGGACGTGCCCAGTTGTTTGAGGTTGCCGCGGCCGAAGACCCGACCGCCTGAGCATCCCAAAGCAAAACCTGCGTGATTTAGCGAGGATGTATAGAAGGCTGGCACAACAGCTGCCTCAGCGAGAAAGACAAGCCAGAGCACGGAAACATGCGGCCGCACAATTGAGCGTGGGAGGCAGCATCTGGAGTACAGCGTAGAGAGCTTGTGCAGTATAAAGCCATAGATAACTGAATTGAACCCCGTGCAGGCCGCATTTCGATTCTTTCTTTGCGACGGAGGCTGGCAGGGAAAGCGGCGGGTAGAGAGGCAGACGTACATGTGAGCATGGCAGCGAGCAATTGGAGTTCAGTATAGAGAGCTTGTGGGCTTGAATCAGTTGGAGAGCCGAGTGAAGCACTTGCAGGCAGCATCTGGATTTCTTTTCTGCCACGGAGGCTGGAAGGGAAAGCATTCAGGTGTGGCGGTAGGCACAATGCCATGTAGCGTGAGGTGCTGCGCATGTATCCTTCACCTGCAAGTAGGAAACTAGTAGCAGTCGCAGCAGCATCAGCAGCAGCAGCAGCAGTAGCACAGTCGAGAAATACCAGCAGATAGAAGTTGAAGCCACGTGCGTAGGAGTGCGTAGACGGGCTCACTAATAATTTAGAATTCCAAAGCACAAACCCTGAACCTGGAGTCTCCAACGCTAGCCCTACTCAGTCCTTCTCCCTAGCCCAAGCCCCTGGCCCCTCGCCGCCCTAGCCCCTAGCCCTAGCCCTAGCCCAAGCCCTAGCCCTCCCTTAACAATACCAAAGCGTCCCAAACAGGCTCTCGGGACCAAAACGGGCCGCTTACCTTAGCCCCTAGCGAAGCATGCACATCCACGATTTCACAGGCAGATGCATTCTCGCTGCTGCTATTGTGTCGTGCAGCTGCTGCTGCTTCATGCTTTTGCTGAAGAGGCTGCGACCATGCATGCTGCTGCTGATGCGACTATTGTTTTGATTGCTTGCCATTACTGCTGGACACACTGCTGCTGTGGTGTGCTGCTTCCTGGTTTTGTTTCTGTTGCCCTAAACCTCAAGTCCTAAATTCTTAACCCTATAACTTTAAAACCTGAACCCCAAAACATAATCCTTAAACCCTGCGCCCTAAACCCTATAAACCCTAAATCTCCAACGGGACACAGGATGCACGTGCGGGCAATGATTGAACGACTGTTTTCATTTTGTCGGAATGCAGAAGGTTTAGGGAATAGCATGTTTGTGGGTTTGGGGTATGAGAGGGTTTATTTCAATAGAAAATGTAGGGGGACAACGTCTTTGTAAGTTTGGGAGATGTAAGTAAATTCTCCAAAGGGTTGAAGGGCGAAACGATATTTTCACGGGGTAGGTGGCATGGAACCTATACATTCACGGGGTGTGTAAGAAATACTTATACGAGCGCTTAAGTGTGGAAGGGATCCTTGCATTGCAGGCTGGGGTGTGGAAGGGATCTTTAGACGGGCGGTTGTCACGTGGAAGGAATTATTTTCACGGGCGGCTGGGGCGTGAACTGAACACTTCCACGGAGTCCGGGGTGTGGAAGGGATCCTTTCACGGGGGTCGGGGGCGTGGAAGGAGTCCTTCCAC